TTTGTTAATGACTGTGAATAGCAATGGGTGTGTACCTTGTTTGTTAATGACCGTGAAGGACTGATGGGTGATGGAGAGGACGTCACAGCTGCAGGAGAACTAAAACTGAAAGTAGGCAGTGAAGAACTCGTGATTGGTAGAGATATTTTCGGTAATTCTGGTACTTCCATTTCCTAAAACACAACATGTTTGATAATTACTTATTTTCTGGTATACTGGATGAACTTACAGGTAAAAGTACAACATAAACGGAGTCCAGCAGCAGTTTACCAGATGTTGGGCTGTTAAGAACAGTTAACCCAAGGAGAAAGTTGAGGTTTTCTGTTCCTAGAGATTATCCACCTGGAAACCCACAGGGCAGTTCCACAACGCATGTTCCCAAAGGGTCTCTTTGATTTGGAATTCACTTAATTGCCGTGAATTTGGCTGTTTTTGTGACTGCTGTTTTATTTTTTGAGTACGTGAAGAATGAGTACCATGTACTAAGGATGAGGGCTCATGTGGGTAGAGAAAAAAAAATCATTTTAATCACAGCTCTGGTACCTAACCAGCCATGTAAACTTGAGAATCAAAGTAAATAGGGGGGCGGGGGGAAATTGTATTCTATAGAACACTTTTGATATTAATGTAATGTTCTATATACTTGGCACGAAGACCACCACCCTGATTTTCAAACCCACTACGGCAAAGCTCGTCTCCAAAGTGAAAGGACCGAGGAGCAAACTCATGAGAGCCATTCATGCTGGCAGTCCTAGCTGAGAGGATCGGACATTTCAAAGGCGGTCTATTTATGAAAAGTAAACCTCAACACAAAAACATAATACATTTCCAGATAATGAACTAAGAGAGCATGCCTATTTCCATAAACCTACTTTACATATTCTTCAAGGTTAAAAGAAACAATCCTGATGAAAAAACAAACAAACACACAAACTCATTTGACACAAACCTCCACCTGGATAAAAATTATGCGCGGGTGGGTGGGGAGATTTAGGGTAGCCAACCATTAGTACCTTTTTTCCTCACCACTCATTAAAGTACACACCTCTTTCCTCAGACTCCACATTGCAGAACAGAGCCGGGGACAGAGGGTTTGGGTGAGGCATTCTGGGATGTGAAGTCGGCAGTTGGCCGGAATGGTGAGAACAGGGGCACGGGGGTTGTGCAGAGAAAGGAGGAGGTCTGTATGAAGTACACCTCTTGACAGTTAGTATATACCGGCCATTAAAAATATGTATTAAAAGAAATTTTCCCAGTAAAGTCATACTAACCACATATCTACAAAAACAAAACAAACCCACAGCTACCAAGTTGATTCCGACCTACACATGTGACGCACTAAGGGTGTAAGATGGGTCCACCACAGGGTTTGTGAGATTAAAAATCTTATCACAAGCAGGCTGCTTCCTCTTCCTTCTGGGGAGCAGCTGGTGGGCTTGACCCACGAGGTTTTTGGTTAACAGCCCAACACTTAATTCAGAACGCCTAGTAAAAGCAAACAACTCGACAAAGCAAGTCAGTTTAAACATCTACAGGACAGCTAAAACCTCGTCAACTTGAGCTTAGAACAATTTTTTTTTTTTTATCTTCATGGAACCCATCACAAGGTTGGATATAGAGACCACCCCAGCCCCGGGGGGGACGAATAACAGAAATGTGGGGGAAGGGAGACAACGGACAGTTTAAGACAAGAAATAAAACAAGAACATATACCTGATCAAGGATTCATGAAGGTGGAGGGGTCGGGGAGGGAGGGGAAAAAAGAAGGGCTCAAGCAGAAAGAAAATGCTTTGGAAATGTTGACGGCAACATGTGAACAAGTGCGCTTTTCACAATTGAATGATGGATTGTCCTAAGATTTGTAAGAACCCCCTATAAAATAAAAATTAAAAACAAACAAACACTGAACCTGGAGAGCAGTGAGGCCACCTGACAAACACATCCACCCCACGATGATTTCCTTTCTCAGGAACAACAAAGGCACAGGCACAGTTTACGAAGAAATATAAAGCTGCCTAATTACATTAAACAGATTCTAATTTGCTTATGTAACAAGGTAAGATAACTCATTTTTTAAATAATAAAGACCACATAAATAACTTTAAACAAGAAATTTGGTTTGCCATGAAAGCTATAAAACTTAATACAAAGATTTCATTTTCCCTTCAAAATGCTAGAATATAGTAATACATTGCCCGCCTTCGGAATTCCCCAGCAGAGCAAGAAGCAGGCACATTATTCTTGTGCTGGGTTCTCCCCAGGCCCCAAACCCAAACCCATCACCACAACAAAGACTTAAATAAACTTCAAGAGTATTAAGATGTAACCCCTACCTCCTCCTCTGGAGGTTTCGATGCAACAAAGCGTGTCCTTTCTCGTCTCATTTTGCCGCCTCCACCACCAGAAGATAATCCATTGGCTGCAGGCACACTGAAATTTGGGTATGAAAAACCACTAGCAAACGAAAAGAAAATAAACAATTAACCTATTACTCTAATCCATAACTTGTTTTATCACCAAATGCCTCAAGACCAGCACTGTCAACAAAAAAGTAAACACCGGGGGACTTTTAAAAGTTCATGAAAAAGAAATGGAAAGGTAGTGGAATTCTTCGACAAACTTGTTGAAGCCCCCTTCTACATATGCAGCTGAAGGTGACGGTAAACAGCAGGCTGTTGGTAGATAAAGTTTCTCTTTTCAATCCTGTCGATTTTCAAGGAGGTACACGTACACCAACAAGTGGCCCTTACAAAATAAAAGCAGGATGTGAATGGCCTTACCTTTCTCGTTCTCTATTTTGTCCTGATGCCGCATTTTTTTCAAATCCAGTCTAAAAAAAGGAAGCATATGTATTTACACACGGGCTTATTTTCTCTAATTTTCTGAAGAGCACCCCTATATCGACAAGTTTACACTTCTATAATCGAGAGTTTCATGACTTGGTAAGTGCTAATCCTCCAGTTTGCGAGCAAACACTCCAAACTCACAGCCATCCGACTCAGACGGCCCTGCAGGCCGGAAAGGAACTGCCCCTGTGAGGCCAACTCTTCAGGGCAGTAAAAGCCTTCTCAACTGGAAAAGAACAATGAGGAATGCGATGATATGTGAGAAGGATAACCCTGATCAAGGAATAATTTGTACCCAAAACCCAAACCTACTTCTACTGAAATCAATTCTCACTCCGGGAGACCCTCATACAGAGCTTCTGAGACTATAAGTCTTTACAGGAAGCAAAACAACCTAATGTTTCTCCCTCAGAGTAAGTAGTGAGCGTGTGATGTGGCCCTTCGTCAAACCCACAGTAGCAGCACGGTAGTCAGAACATGATGGGGATATAGTGAGAGGGCAGGCACAGAGCACTCATGAAGGCAAACGACAGGACTTAGAATCAAAAGAAATGGTGTTAATAAAGGATTGAAGCCCGCTGCATGTAAGAATTCAATACAAAAACTTAAATACACAGGTAGGTAAAAATATACTTGGACAAAGGTTAATTCTTCCTTTTAAAATAGAAATGGCAACTAATAAATGAGCGTAGTACATTTGTACTCTCATGAAGATATCTGTGGATTACAAAAAGGAAACAATAGCAACCATGGTGAAATCACAGAGGCACAACGTTAACTAATGGTCACGTTGCCATATGGAATTGGTAGCCAGTGCCTCTTGGTACTATGTGCTGGGGAGTGTATCCTGACTCATGGTGACCCCACATATGCAGAGCAGAACTACACTGCACGTCAAGTTTTTCGAGGTTGTCACCTTTGGAAGCAGAAAGATTCCAAGCAGGCATGTCTTCCAAGGCATCTGTTTCAGCCTGCCACCTCTCAGCTAGTAGTCACGGAGACCCCTAACCAAACCACTGCACCACAGATCGATTCTGACACACAGCCCCCTTGAAGAAAGACCACAGGGATCCAAGGCTAGCAATCTCTACAGACTCAGACAGCCACCTCTGTCCCCCGTGGAGTGCTTGGTGGGTTCCAACTGTGAGCAGTTAAATACTAAACTACTGTGCCAACAGGGGTCTTCCTATGAATCAGGTAATATGTGGAAGAATTCAAAATAATTTCCAGATATGGTAAGACAGGAGGAAGTGCTCAGAGAATGATGTGAAAGTACACATGGGTGAATTTCAAAAATTCATTTTCAAAAGATGCCAACAACAACAACAAAACACAGATTATTTCATCTAGAAAATGAACATAAAACTAATGCTTCTTGGTGAACACTCATTTCTTATCTGTTCAACTTAAGCTAGTTTAAAGGCAATAGAAACTGATAATCACAGTAACTAACTCACAAAATGCCCCCATTATCCAGTTGGTGTCACAGCAGTGGTAGAATATCAGTATTTTACAGTATTTAATATATCATTTTAATCAATTCAAAGACTCTGGTAAAAATAAAACGCACTCACATTGTGCTTTTTATCTATTCTTTGATTGGTCTTCTTCATTTCTCCAGATGGGGTAAGAGATGGTTTAAAATAAACAGTTCGATTTGTTGCTACAGAAACTGACTTTGGGGTCACCAGTCTCTGAACAGGGGGATATTGAGAGTTCACCTAACACGAAAGAGAAATCAAGACAATTGTCGTCATTTATGAATCAATGACATATATCTAAAACTATCTGGCACTAGTTAATGTGACCTAGAGAAATATCCAGTAAATACAAACAAATGCTGAGAGAAAAAACTGGTAAGAATAACACCAAGGGAATACAAATTTTACTTATTTACATACTTGGACATGTAATTCTAAAAGTGTTTCACAAAATAAATGTATCCTTTTCCAAACTTTGTGACTTTTCACAAACATATGCAAATGTGGGATTATATTCAAAGCGGGTTCACAAATCTAAGCTTGCATAGACTGAACTGGAAACATTAACTAAAACATTTTGCCATATTTCTCCAAAAGTGCTATCAAAACTTTGCTCAACAAATTAAAATATTTTAAATTATGGATACACTTAAAACAATCACATAATTCCACCACCACCCCTCCAAAGTTAGCAAATCTCCCTTCAAGTTGATTTTCCTTTAGTTATTTAAACACAAATTGCCAAAAGCTGCTAAGACTCCCAGATTACAAAACAAACTGGCTTTTTAATCTAAGCACACAAGTGTTTTGTCAATGGTCCCCAGCTACACTGAAACACAGTAAAACTCCTGTTGGCGTAAGATGACTAATAGTAAGGGCTTCTACTCTGTCCACAGATTGTAATGCTCTCTCAATAGTCCTTTCACTCAGCAGCAGCTGTGAACAGCATTGGTTCCCATGGCAAGAGTCTCAGTATAGTTTTAAGCTCTTCCTGAAATCCTACAAACTACGAAGGCCTCTACTTTGTGGAATATTTTGATTAATTATATCTCTGAAACATAAACTACAATACTGCATTCTGGACTTTGTGTCTTCCTAACATACATTAATATATGTTTTATTGACATTTCAACCACCCTTAATGAAATTGATGAAAACATTTAAACATAGAACCTTAAAACATTTTTATAGCAGCTGATAATGACTCTTCTCTTCCTGATTGTGGCAAAGTGGGTTAGGCATTGAACCGATAGCCACAAGTGGGAAACAGATGAAGTTTTCTACTCCTGTAAAGATTTACAGCCTCTGAAACCCACCGGGACATTTCTAGAGGGTCACCATGAGTCAGAATTGACTCAGTGGCAGTGAGTTTTTTGAGGGGATTCTAGAAACTGCAAAAGTAAAACTGCTTTGCACTCCAAGATAAAATGAAAATTTATCTTTTTTTCTGCAATAGAATAATATAGTAAGAGTAATACAATGAGCTAGATACAGTTCCCACAATTAATTCACAAAATAAAATTTTAATCAATTACTTTTGGAGAACCTGGTATTTTAACAAACGCTTTTGCAAGTAAGCATGTGAGAATCTGTTCCCAAAAGGATACTTAACTAGACACACATATGGGTCACAAAAAGATACCTTTCCTCTTAATTTTCAAACAGTTTGTTTGTTTTCCTAAGTAACTTCCCAAGCTAATTTTAACCAAATCCGAAGGCCCAAACCCACTCCCCCGTGAGTCTATTTTGACCAGCTCAGTGACCCCAATCAGGGTTTCCGAGGCTGTGAGTCTTTAGGGGAACAGACAGCTTCAGCATTCTCTCACAGATCAGCTGGAGAGTGAGGTGTTGGCCTTTCTACGATTGGCAGCCCAGCACGTAACCCATGATGCCATCAACAGAATATACTAAAGGGGCACCCAAGGTATAAGTTACACTACATTTTTACTAAATCTAACATATTTTAACAACATTTTGGCTGACTGAATAGAAAATGTGCCCAGCCCATATAAACTCTATTGCACAATTTTTTCCAGATCTATTGTAAATTTGATGTTGGTTAAATAAGAAAAGCTTACAATGATTGCAATGTTTACCATGAACTTTAAACTACTTACTAAACACTTCAACACTTCGTGTTACATTTTTATTTCTCATAAAGGCTGTCAAGATCCTGAAAATGGACATGCCAAATAGCGAAAAACACCGAGCAGCTACCATATATACATTGTGTAGAGCAGTGGTTCTCAACCTTCCTAATGCCGCCACCCTTTAATACAGTTCCTCATGTTGTGGTGAGCCCTCATGAAATTATTTTCATTGCTACTTCTTAACTGTCATTTTGCTACTAATCGGGTGACCCTTGTGAAAGGGTCGTTCGACCCCCCAAAAGGGTCGCAACCCACAGGTTGAGAACTGCTGGTGAGAGGTTCTGAGAAATAGTTACCTCTACAGAAAAATCATGGTTACTTTTTAAATCTTGGCCCCTGATGATTATCTACTGACTCTAATGTGTACATTTCTGTAATTAAACAATGAGCACTTCTCAGCCTTCTGGCTAAGATCAAGTATAAAAATAAACACTATAACACTTTAAATAAGTACTAATAAAGTCATCCCCCTTACCTTTTCTCTTTTGGTCTGAAAATCTGTGATATCTATCCCACTCTTATGAAGAGGCTGAAAAATTATAACACTGTTAAGAGTCGATGGAAACTGAAAAATATGACTAATCAGCAAAATATGTGTGTGCTTAAAAATACTGATAGGTTTCAAAGTCAACTTACAGAATTCAGGGATGAAGAAACAATAGATGGAATTCTTTTTGCATCCTGTAAATATTGAAATAATAACAAAATCAAGGTTTTTCACTAACGTCAAAAGACAATTTGTTGCACCACTATATTTGTGATTTTAAAAAGTTTACCGCTAGAGGACTTGACATCTTTTCCAAAGACTGTAATATTCGCCGGGCTGTTGAGCTAGTCACCCCGTAAGATTGTGCATTAAGTTGCTTAGCTTTCATCTGTCTTCTGACTGGTGCCTGTAAAATAAATCCTGTGTTATTTCTTTGGAATATAAAATGTATAGTACGTTATTTTAAGCCATGAGAAAGATATCCAAAAATTAACAGTAATTGTTCTCTAGGTGCTGCCTTTATGAGCAAGTGTAAGTATTTTTTTCCTCAAGGATTTCTTGGAAAATTCAATTCCATGACTGAGAAGTCAAATTTAGAGTCAGAAAAAAGTGGCATATACCACTCTTCAAGATCTATCTATCAGCTATGTTAAATAGGAAAAATGAGGCAAGAGCAAAAAATTCTATTTCCTGAATTACTTTACCATAATGTTTCAATGAAAGAAAATTAGCAAGTAGCACTGCATTTAAATATTATCATAGGTACTACATAATTTCAACTGAAGTAAATACCAACATAACCAAAATTACTTTACCTAAACTAAAAGACAGCAATGGAAATTAAAAAATTTTAATACTACTGCTTTCTTTCTCAAATGATATAACAAAAATAAAATTTTAAATACTCAGGCTACTTTGTAATGAATGTTTTTTAACTTTCTTAAGGTGGGGGTTAGGGAAAAAATCCTTAAAAACAAATGGTAGGTACCCACTAACACAAAGGCAAATGTTTACAAATATTTTATTAAAAATAGCTCCCTTTTATCAATATATTACATCCCAATAATCAAGTGCCTGCCACAAAAGAAAGTAATTGGTGGGAACCACTGATTCTCCATATGGAAATGATTATTTTTTAAAATAGAGTATTACAAAATATAACCCAGTTTTTAGAACGTGCTCATATCTGAAAAAACTGAACCATAACAAGTAATTTTTAGCTAATACCAGGCATGTATTATCCTCACAGTAGCTGCAACATTAGACATTAGTTTTCTTAAGAATCTGATGCTCCATTAGGAACTGCTGTTTGGGCTGAAGGCTTTAAGGACTGTGGCAGGGTGCAACATCAAAATATCCTCCCGGGAAATCTGACCGTCTGTCCTATCGCTGGAGAGAGTTTACTGGCCTCTCAGGGCCTCAGTTCACAAATCACTAAAATGGAACAGATTTAGAAATTCTTTAATATGCCTACCAACTCTAACATGCTTTTAAAAAAAAGGACTAACAATCTAGCAATTAAATTTCATCCCAAATGCCAAGTGCAATCATTTGGAAGCCTGTGTTAAAAATGAGTCTAATGGCATATGCCAAGACTTAGCATTCAAAGTAGAGAATCCAAGGAGCAATAGAGTAGAGGAAGTAGCACAAGCATACTCTGGCTTAGGGTATTCTACCAATCACAGGCGTGTGCACTTCCCTTCGACTTCTAGCTACTTTTATAGTTAAAAACCTTTTTCCCCCTTTACTGTCAAAATTTCTTAGTTATCTGAGCCAGCGTGGGAGCCCTAGTGTAATGGTTACTCGTTAGTCGCACGGTCAACAGTTGAAACCACCAGCTAGCAGCTCCGCAAAAAAAACCACACAAGAAAACGACTGAGCTTTCTACCCCTGTAAGAGTCAGTCTCACAGACCCACAAGGGTCACCGAGTCAGTACCGAGTCCCTGGCAGTGAGTGGTTGAGAAGCCAGCATACCCTTGAGAAAAATGCAATCACAACACTCAGTTGACACTTTATAACACAGAATTACCCTGCATAAAAGTACACGCTGAAATCGTCCCTACAATCCCTGTGAATTAAATCCTCTAACAAAGCAAGTACTGTAAAGAAAAATTTTAATCTTCAAATGTACTTTTTTATTCCTGTTTTTGCCATGACATCTTTACACAGAATTCTCTCTTAAACATGCTTAAGTATTACTTCCCCACCTTTAAAATGGGGGGGAGGATAAATAAATAAATAAATAAAAGCACCATAACAACGTGCACACCCAAAATTGAATTTTATAATTTCATGAAACTATTAGGACAAAACATAAGAGCACTACCGTTTATTTTGAATGTTGTTGGTTTTTTAAATCAGTTTCCAAACTGTCACAGCTAATACACATAAATGCAACAGGTTTTATATACATCTACTCCTTATGTATCTACTATCTAGTCATCTGATATTCTGCATTTAAAAGGAAAAACACCCACTGTATCTGATTATTTTGTGCACATACAACGTACATCTGGAGTTAATCAACTCCCAGTGTAAGGCATTGAGTGTGAGATGGCTGTGATAATTAAGGTTACATATCAATAAATCCTAATGTCCACTAATTGGGCAGTTATGAAATACTGTGTAAACCCTCTATTTTGTGATCTAACCCATTGTCATATTATGGCCTCGTCTTTGAAACCTAACCATATCATTAAACAAAGATTTGGTATATTGGCCTTGTTATCCTGCGTTTGCTAAGCTTACTCATTATTAGTGTGGGCAGAATTTTTTGTGAAGTCTTGAGATTTTCTACACAGCTAAACATATTGTCATAAATAGGAATAATTTTTCCTTTCTAATCTATATGCCTTATATTTTGCTGTCTTATCTATAGACAAGTGTTACAGCAAATAGGTCCAGTAAGAGCACACATCCTTAACTTCCTGGGAGACAGTACTGTCTTCCATTATTAAATTGGATGCTAAAGAATTTTGGTAGATGTGCTTGACTAGGTTGAGAAGGAAGGTCCCATCTATTTCTAAAATTGTTGAGAATTCTTATCATTTATCATGAGTGAATGTTTGATTTGTGTGGGGGTTTTTGCATCTAAATTCTTTTTTTTTTTTTCCTACTTTAGTCAGTTTGCATGATGGACTGCATTATTTTAAAAAATCCTGAATCAAGCTTGCATTCCCAGGCTAAACCCTACTTGGTCTTAATACAGTATTGGGGTTTTTTGTTTGCATGCTAGAGCTAGATTCAATTTGTAATCGCCTGTTACCTATATTGATGAGGAATATTGATCCTTAGCTTTTTTGTAATGTCTAGTTTGGGTAAAAGGATCATTTTAGCCTCCAAAATGAGTTAGAATACAGAAACGTGTGTAGAATTACTATAAAAAATATTTTAGTTATGAATTGTTTAATGAATACAGGACTACTCAGGTTACCTGTTGCTTCTTTACTATCACTATTTGGTGATAAATACTTAGGTATAAATATAACAAAACAAGTACAAGATCTACAAACTGAAAACTGCAACAAAACCACTGATGAGCGGGGGAGAAAATGGTCTAAATGAATGGAAGAAGTATACAATGTTCATGGATCGGAAACTTCAGTTTTGCTGAGATGTCCGCTCTCCTCAACCATATCTCTAGATTCAGTGCAATCCCAATCAAACTTCCAGTAGAAGGTGTAGAAATTGACAGGCAGATTCTAAAATGTTATGGAAAAGCGAATGGCACAGGAAGCCGAAACAAGCTTAAGAGAATAAAAAAGTTGAAGAACTCATACTACCTGATATAATTATTATAAAGCTTAGTAATCAAGGCAGTGAAATGTTGGCCAAAAAACACACAGATCAATGGGAAAGAATAAAAAGTCCAGAAATAGAGCCACATAGATAATCCACTGATTTTCAACAAAGGTATAAAGGCAATTCAATGGATGGGGTTTCCCACAAATATTACCACAACATTCACAAGAAAAAAATAAATAAGTAACTTTAACCCACGTTAGATACAAAATGCGTAAGAAGTCTAAATTTAAATTTACAACGTAAATCTATAAAATCTCTACGAGAAAATCTGTGACCTACATTTAGGCAAAGATGTCTCAGATATGATACCATAACAGAGAAGAGGGCAAATAAAACAACACATTAAACGCAACCAAAAGAAAAAAATGTTTATTCTATAAAGAATATTTAAGAAAATGACAGATAACCCCAAGAAAAAGAAAATTTGTTCTACATTTAACAAATAAAAGACCTA